GGATCAGGTAGTCGGTGTGGGTGCTTTAAATAATAATAATTAATTTGCTCTTCCGTAGTTTTAGAAGAGGTGCTCCAACTGCTCTATTATTAATTTTTGAATGCTCATGTTGTACCGTATAGTCACAAGTCTAAAATGCTAGGTAACCTCAGATTTATTACAATGTAAAATCTGACTTACATGTAAAGAGATATCCTCACTGATAGGTAATAGTGAACCTATCCACTGCATTTTAAGAAGCTGATGACATGTCTACTGTCATGGCTGATAAAGATGAGAATGGAAGATTAATTCAATATACACATTTGCAAGATTGCCCACTGGTGATAGTCAGATGGCCAAATAGCTGTTTACAGTAAGGTAGTGAAGATTTTTCTTTAAAACATATATATTCACTTTAAACAAGACACAGCTATTCAGTAGTTATGCCTAGATAAAGACCCATGACACCATAAATGAGCTGTTGTAATCATGGTTCTTCTGTAAGCTTCATCCTTTGGATAAAACAAATACTACTTTAAAATAAAGTGTACTCTAGGGAATGCACAAATACAGAACTTCTGCATTGATTCCTCAAACAGCTGTGTATTTGCCTAAATGTTCTGGGTGAAATCCTGGCTTAGATGAGTCAATGAAACAATGGTGGTGGACTTAAGTGGAGCCAGGGTTTTTTCATCCTGTATTTATTTACACAGTAGGTCATTGAAGTCTATAGATAAATAATACATATTTTAAACTTTGCTTGAAGTCTCATACTTCCAAAACAATTTTCTCTTTTTAAAAGAATATAAAATACAGACATGCACAAACTGTATTAATGCAATGTATCAAATTTCTCTCTCGCTTACCCTCTTTCTCTCTTTCGGTGTCTGCCCAGAATCCCCTGGCACCTGCACCTTCCCTTAGCCCTGCACCGTCCTGCCTGCCTCCTTACCCCTCCGTCTCCCTCCTCCGCCCCATGCAGCGGGAGGTAAAATCCCCAGCTTGAGCCCGACCTCGCTGCTTCCCCTCACAACTTGGAATTGCTATTGAAGGACC